TTTTCGTGATGGCTGGGGGGAGCGGGAAATCGAAACAACAAAACCCTATATGGCGGCGAAATTTGTCTTACAAACGTGGACGAATTTAACTACATTTTGGCACCAGAATGAGTTTAAAAAACATAGTATGGCAAAAAGAGCGTGTGGAAAATAGCGGGAAGTAGTTTTAAGAAATAATCTCGGCGGGATGCAGCGAAACGTGACTATATGTAAGTCTGTAATACAATTTATGAAGATTTTCTTTTACTCCAAAGCCCAAAATATGTTGTTTGAGTTTGAATCAAGCGTTCTAGTTTAAGTTTGCTTTCATGAGTTTTTGATCATTTCTCAAGTTTGCTTGTGCCAAATTGCTTACAAAAGAGTTGAAAACTCTTGGCAAAATGCAGTTGAATTTTAAAGAAAGCGATTTTGTCATGCATATAATAAATAAATAATCACATGGGCAAGTCGTGCAATTAATGATTAACGCTACTCGTGATTTTTGAAAAATGTGCCAAATTGCACTCGTCTCGGCGGCTCGTGCAATTTTGGCACATTTTTCAAAAATCACTCGTAGTGTTAGTCATTAACGAGTATTGAGAGCATATAACTTCAGTGTATCCTTATTGATTACCCTTTTTTATTATCTTAAATTTTTTAAATAAAAAAGAAAGCAAACTTATTTGCATGTAACTGAGTATTTGAAATCATTCTGTTCCAAACTCAAAAATTATCGATAAAGGCAGTTTAGTTTTATAAAGAACATTTTAAAACGTTTTGCGAAGCGTTTGCGGTTGAATTTTACCTTAAATTGAAGCGTGTATTGGGTAAAATAACTTACCTAAGATTTATATGTTTGGGAAATTGATAAATTTCTAATTAAAAGTAATATTTTTAACGGATTTTAAATTTTAAAAATATTCTTAATAAAGTTATTTTAAATAAAATATTTTTGTCAGCAAGGCGAGGTTTTCTACATGCATGTATTTACTAGTTAAATTAATATCTGTCACTAGGAGTTACATACAAATTCGCAGCAAATGTTCGTTAATAACAATTTTTAATTATAATGGCCTGTTTCATTTACGTGCTTCTGCATGTACCCTAACAAAACAACTGTTATTTATGTATGTTGTTTTTGTATGAACTTGTAGATTTATCAGTGGTATCGCGTTCCAGGAAACTCTTTTGCGATATGCTCTCGGTAGAAACTTTATCAATGCTCTTCTTATTTTTAGCAGCAAATATTCCCCTCTTTACGTTGATATGGCCAGAAATCACGGACATGATTTATTCTACTTCCTTCGTAATTTGCATATCACGTTGAAATATGACTTCTGCAGTAAACAGTAAATTATATTACGCGATGCTGTAAATCCCAAAATCAGAGAATATGGTAGGTTATTTGCAACTTGCCGCAGTCGCTGGCTATAAATCAAAGTCTGTCGAAGTATTTAGCGTAATATTTATATATATACTCACTTGGATTACAAACCCTAAGAACAGCATTCAAATATTAATACCACCAAGTGAAGTGCAAGAAACCAGATCATTGAAGTCCACCTTATCTCAACTCGCACACCCGATCACCTATATATACATCAACTTACGGTTACAGCTCAACAGCTGGCCTCTGTAGCTCAGTTGGTTAGAGCGCTGCACCGGAATCGCAGGGCGGTGGGTTCAATTTCTACCAGAGGACCTTGTGCTGCATATTTCGCAGTCGTTCCTGGTCAGGTCTTAAAATGTATATATATACTCACTTGGATTGCAAACCCTAAGAACAGCATTCAAATATTTAGCGTAATGTTGACTTGATTTATTTAGTGAATATTCTTCATTTTCAATATTTGTACTGAGGTTAGTTTGTACGGAATTTGTCTGTTTAACTCTTTATAACTCTATTTGCCCCTAGAAACTAACGAAAATGCAGAACAGGCAGTAACTTACACCAGGTAAACACTGCACGATATATTTCAACAGAACGTGTTCTGCAACCAGCAATCGAGGCAAATTGCAAACGACCTACCAATATTTCAGATTTTGCGATTTAAAGCATCACGTAATATAATTTACTGTTTACTACCAAAGCCTTATTTCAATGCGTTATGTATTAATGATATGCAAATTAGCAAGGAAGTAGAATAATCATGTCCGTGATTTCTGCCCATGGATCTCAGAAATGGTAGACCTGAGCCAGGTTTTGATACATATCATTTGCAAACATGCAAAATTTAAATGTACGTTGGCTTTCCAAAATATAGGACATGCAGTATAAATGTTAACTCAGGGCGATAAAATTAACACATCCAAGAGATAATATTAGCCTTTGTAAAGGCATCAGCTCTTTAAATATATATGTAGGGAACAAGGCTGCACTCCGCATACCCACGTAAGCATAGGTGAGCTAGTCGGGGCTGCTGCCGGGTTTCTGAGTTTCTGCAGCCTGGCCGAGTCAAGCACGGCCATGTCCAACGAAAGACATATAATTGTACAATTCAGGAAAAAATATGGCTGTACATAGCCTTAATAAACAGAGTGAGATCCTTGATTTCATTATCGTAGCAAAGGGGTAGAAGAACCAGTGTCAATAGTCGCTGTTTATACGATATTTCACCAGTCTTGATTCTCAATATCCATTTGGTCGCTCTTCGTTGAACTATTTGAATGCTTGGCTGCCTTGGTATTCAATTTCGGACAATTTATAAATGTACATTTACTAACGGTATTCCTGGATTTATTACTGGACTACATGATTACGTTTTTAATATAATTTTTTTCTTTTAACATATCTTCTTCAGAATGGGAAAAGAATTACTTTAAACAAGTGTGGCCTAAATGGAAGGATGGCATTCACAAAGAGCTGAAGGATCATATTAAGAACATTGGTATGTAAAACTTAAAACCTCATTATATAGCCAAAACTATGGAATCAAACATTTTTTCGCTGTGCTGTGTTGAAAATAAGGCAATCTGACTGACAGGTAATTGTCAGGTTTCTCCCATCAGGACATGGTGAAGTAATATATAGGGAACATTGACAACTGGTCAAATACGCATGAAAAAGTATTGCTTTGGTTATTTTATTTTGATAAAGAATTGGAATTTAACGAAAACAAAACCGTGCAGTCTAATAAAAGGTATACAACGCTCTATTGCACGATGAGCAAAATGGCAATTTTTATTCCATATCAAGTAACCAAAATCAGCCCAGTAATTTAGCAGGATTTAATGGAGCATTACATAATATAAACTATTCTATATTAAAATATGCTTCTCAATTTAGCTAAAATTGTCACTGCATGTCATAGGATTTGCATGTGATCTAGATTGTCACTGCATGTCATAGGATTTGCATGTGATCAAGAGTTTTAGTACATGAAAATAGGTATTCGAGTTCTTGAAGTATAAAATCTATATTGAGGCGATGTAGTACTGCATGTCATGCTACAAAATATTGCATCTCCATCGAATTAAATGTTAATTTCACATATTTAATACCAAACGCTCTTGCAAGATTTGTATACGCAGTAATTTTCTACTTCTGCAGTAATTACTGCCATAATTTCTGCTTCTGTCTAAATTACTGACTTCATGGATCCTCTTCACTGGTAGTGACTTTTCTTCAGCTGACTGTTAACCTATATTAAGCCAAAATCCAATTTTTTCATGCTACAATGTCAACGAATCTTCCCCATGAAGATCGTGTTGACGGACTGGAAAACTGGAACGACACTAACAAAAACTGTGACGCATTATCGTCCAAGAAGCACTTGATATTTTTCAACAAATTAGTCACGCCTAGCAAAATCGGCGTCGTTGTATATCACACGACATTTTCACTTAACACCAAACGGCGAAGCTAGCAAGTTCCTGAAGACAAGATTTAGATACTACTCAAACAAGGATACTTCATTCAACGTAGACACAACTCAGGAACATTGAATAAATATAAAAATCATCCGAAGAAACGACCAGCTGTGCCTAACACTGCATGTGCAACTGTTTCCACATCTAGTACAAACAACGTTCAAGTTAAACAAACTAAATTATTTTTTGTGGTCTAAGTTGGAACTGTCGCAGTTTCTTCAGTTTGCACAAATGACCTAATCTCGAAACGATGTGCAATCACACTATAGTTTTATGGATTTTTTCTGTTCCGAATTTATCGACATGGTGTTTCTCACCGAGACCTTGTTGTTGGCTGAACATCTCAATAAAAACTTCTCACAACTGTCACCTATTTCGCACAAAGCGGAACTGCAAAACTGGATGTGGTCTTCTTATCGAAGCTAGGGTGGCGGAGGTGCACGTGGTGTTCATTTATTGCTGTGAAGCAATAGCTTTTGATCAACTGTTTGATCTTGAAATTGTTTGTGCGAATGTAATTGGGGAAAGACTCTCCAACTCTTGTGGTGTACTGCCACAGACCTCCAAATTCTACTCGGAAATTGCTTTCCTTATTCATGGAATTGCAATACTGGCCTAATCGTACTTCCAAGAAAATTATACTCAGAGGTGACTTGAACTTTCCAATAATCTCATGGTTTGAAAACGTGGTCATACCTAGTGGAGAGACAGAAACCTGTTTTGCGATGCAATAGCTAATTGTTATTTTAGTCAACTGTTATTCATTCCAACTATAGGGAACAAAACATTATCGATCTGCTTATTACAAATATTCCGGATAAAATTGCCAATATCGAAGTCACTATAATGCCATCCAACACAGCTTCTTCTCGAATCACAAATTCGTACTTTTTGAATACAAAGAAAAGTCTTTGTTTTCTCACACAATCAAAAGAACAATTTGTGACCACAAGCGTGCCGAATTCAAGGGGATGAATGGACCTTTCCCTTTATAACTAAAATTTCGATCTAGACAAAAATTTCATCACAGCTTGAAAGAGCATCACAAAATTAGTAATATTCCAAAGTTTTGTTGAAAAATCTTGTAAAAGGCGGATAATATAGCCTTGCGAAGTTTGCCGTTTTTCAGTCATTTTGTATTACAAATTAAACGGGAAATTGACATCCGATTCGGGTGTTGGGGCTGCAATTTCCCGTTTGTAATGCAAAATGACTGAAAATTGCAAACTTCGCAAGGCTCCATTTTCCTCCTTTTACAACATTTCGCAACGAAACTTTGGAATATTACTAATTTTGTGATGCTCTTTCAAGCTGTGATGAAATATTTGTCTAGACTTGCCTAGATCAAAATTTTGGTTATAAGGGGAAAGGTCTATTGGTCATGAATGTCTTTCAATTTGAATGGATGACAATTGCAATTGCATTTCTGACATTAATAATGACTGGAATCCTAAAGAGACAGTTTCTCACCAGTCACCATTGCTGACAACTACAGTATATATTCCCAGAAAATTATCAAAGAAGACATCATTAACCGTGGATAACTGGCGAAATATTGAATATGCTGAAAAGGAAAGAAACGTTACGTCGAAAACACTTGTTAGAGATTCAAGATCAAGGTGTTACAATTACATGGAAAAACAAATTCCTTCAACGTACAGCGTAGAAGTTGACCAAGGACACTCATGAACAATTTTTTGCTTCACTAAACGAGTCACTTTATTCAAATCCAAAACGCTCCTGGTCATTTTGTAAAGCAAGCACTTAATCTAGCAGAATTCCAGAACAAGTCTCGGTGGCCGCTAATACCATTGACTCCACGCATCTCGTCCTCTAACGCCGATGAAAGTGCAAATTTTTTCAACCGCTACTTCTGAATCAACTTTATATTTTAAATAACTCTGGAGATAGTTGTTGCTCACTTTAACCATTATTCAGTGAAACTATTTCAGAGATCATCCTAGAACCAGCCGAAGTACTGTACTGTACGTAACGCACTCAACAACTTGACAAAATAACCACCCACCTACTAAACGAATGCGCGTCTGCCATCACTCCACCATTAATGCATCTTTTCAACAAGTCTCTTAACTCTGGTAGCCTACAAACAAAAAATGACAACGGGTCAACAACATGATTTAATGAGAGGGAAGCCTTGTTCTGTTCAACTCCTTTCTGTGCTCGATCGCATCGGTAAGAATCTATGGATACTGTTGACCACAAACTCCTCCCTCAGAAATTAACTTCGTCAATCGTTTCCTCGAAGGAAATATTCCTAACTGGTTCTTTAACTATTCGATAGATCGTCAGCAGCGTGTTCTCATACATGGAGCCACATCAGATCCTTCGCAGTCATTTCTGGTGTCCCACAAAGGTCAATCCTTGGGCCCTTATTATTTTTAATTTTTGGGCGATTATTATTTTTAATTTATTATTTTTAATAAGGGCCCAATCATTGGGCCCTTACTATTTTTAAAATTCCTATTAATTGACCTTCCTTCGTCGATATCCTCAGCGTCTGTAAATGTTTTCCTTTTTGCAGAAGACAAAATTGTTTTTTACTATAAAGTATCCGAGAGATACATGTGTTTTAAATTACAAGGTGAAAAATGTCGTGAAACGGTGTTGTGCTTGCTCGAAAACAAGATTTTCCGTCCGTATACCATCCGTACGAATTGCAAGGATGGTAAGGTCTTTCGTGGAGTAGATGCAGAATGCGCAGCATGATGCAGAATGCGCAGCATGATGCAATTATTTACATCAGACCACGTGATGGAAGGGAAGTCACGAAACGAAAATATAGAGCTTACGGATGGTAAATATTTTTTTTTCCATCCGTATATGCATGCGGCAGTATTGGACATGCATATGGATGCTCTACTACTGTAAAGCATGTTCTTCGTAGTCTTAATTTCTTGTTGTATTTTGTTTCTTCAGAATTTATATAACGGTGAGCTCTTTTCATAGCGAATGAATGCATTATGTCTTTAGCGAATTATGTTTTTTAGTGTGCTGGTTACCCATGGACGATCAGTTGGATGTTTCTTAAAACTTTTTTCAGGAAGAAAAATATTCATCGCCGTATTTATTTTTTGCATTAATAGCGTGTTGTATTTATTTTGGCACGAACTCATATTTAAAACACAACTCCAATTTTTTCCACCATCCATCTCTCAAGTGCTCGCCAAGTAGTGTCCCACATATCCCTTATCTTTATCTTCTTAACTTAAATTTATATATCAACTGGTTTGTATAATATTGTGTAATGATCAGATGATTCAATTAACGGTAATTGTGACAAACAAAACAATGTTGGCCTATTTGTTAAAAACCATTCGAGTATTCCAGAGTCTCTCGTTTTAAATTTTACTAGTTGGGTTAGAATGGTTTCCCTCGGTTTTATACCTCTCACCTTCAGACCTATTGATTTTGGATTATACGGGGGGCTAATACATGGACGATCTTTGTGTTAGTAATAAACAAGTCAGACATTTATACAAGTCAGTCATAAACAGGAAAATAAACATGTAGTAATAACGCGCTTTGATTAACATAGCCGGCTATAAAGACAATGACAATGTTTTAAATATCGTTCTCTGCTATATTTAAAAGACGATGTCAATGTTAAATAACGTAGTGGGCTACTGGGCTCATATTTGGGGGACTTATATTTGGGGGCTTATATTCGGGTGGGCTTATATTCGGGGG